CCACAAATAAAATGTGCTGCGGCGGACTCGCTGATGAAAATGCATTTGTTATCTTGCTCTATCATGCCTAGAAAAAATATGAATATAATAATTTAAGGAAAAATCAATATTTCCATGTTTAGTTAACCCTCAGAACTCTAAGACATTTTTCCAGCTGCCAGTTCAATGAGTTTACGCTGGAAAAAAAGAGCAAAGAGGTTATTTATGAGCTGGAGCCCAGCAGAGACAGACTAAGTAAGGCCCAGCTCCACCACTAACCAGCTGAACTTGGACACGAAAGTTACCTTGTAAACACTGGTCCATGTGTCTATAAAACACAGACAATGATGGTGCATTCTGTCTAAGGTTGAAACGCAGATAATAACAGTGCACCCCACCTAAGGGGCCTGTGCTGATTAAATGAAGAGCTCCTATCCCACACCTGGCACGCACTGCTATGTAGTTAAGGGCTCCATCAATGGAGCCACTTTTATCATGGGAAGGGAAGAGGTGCAGGGGTAGTACAATGAGAGACCCTGGATGAACTACTTGCCCTTACAAACACTGTTAGAAGCATCCGATTCACTGGATGCTCTGATTGATATTATCGTGATTACTAGAACGGTCTACCCTGAAAGCAACTCAGTCAATAATAATAACCACCAGCAATTTTATATGAGTGTGCATGTGCGTGTGTGTGAGTGTGTGTGTGTGTTACTATGTGCTGGAGACTTTTCTAACCACTTTTACAGATAACAGCATCACACACGGCTACAGAGAATGTAGCACACAAGAGCCCAGCAGGGAGATGAGACGAGCAGGCGAGAGTCCAGTCCACTGTCTGTTTACCCAGTTTGACCCCTGGCATAGGACATCCAACCACAGAAGGGTTGCCCAGTGCTAACTTGCACAAAGACACCTCACAGACGAGCGGCAATGCTGTTTACATAAATTATTTAACAAATACATTAACTTTAACAAGTATCTAACCCATGGGAGACAAAAGTAGAAAGTCACTTTGGAGGACACCTAGGACCTAATCCAAAGACCACCATTTTAAAAGCAGATTAGAAGGTATTCACAAAAATCACCCATGAATTCCTAATAGGAGGCTGCCCTCGGTGCCCATGTGCCTTGGGAATGCAAAAAGGCTGGCCTCAAAGTTCAGTATAAATAGACATTCACATCCACCTCCTCCCGGTTTCCTGCTTCCCTTTTCCTCACTCAATTCAAATGTCCTTTGTGTGTGAAAATAAAACGAAGCAGCGGATGTAACCCCAGGATAAACCAAATGTTATGTTTTGCACTGCCTAAAAACAACAACAAAAATTATCTGCGCAGCAAGGGAATGTTTCACTAAGTGATAGGTTTAAAACATTTCGTGGAAAATTCTAGCAAACAGTTGTCATTCCTATTCAGGTGGCACTCCCAAATGCAGGTTTCTAAAAATGACTCCCAGGTATAAAGACCCATTCATTTTCTCCCACCTCAAGCATCTATAATCTTGGTCTGCTCGGGGTTCTCACCCAAGGGAAATCATCATGTTCTGCATAAAGCACTATATCTATCATTTTGGCTTAGGTTTACCTTCAGTACGGGCAGAGGAAGGAGTCAGGAAAGTGTCATCCCCTTCTCTAGTTGGGGATTTGGAAGTAATAACAAATCTCTTCCGGTTCTAGAAAACTATTAGTTCTTACAAACAGGATCTGCATAACTATGACATGCACAGAATCTTAAAAGCAATTCAAAAAATTCACCCTAATCAGAGAAAAGTGATAAAAACTACCTACATTTTCACACAGAAGTCATTCCTATTACCCTTTCTCTAACGAGGACTGACCTAGACCTTGACAGAATAACATCAAAAAACAGATTGTCTTGTTGAAAATTCCACCATATAAAAAATGAGAATTGGATGTCTGATAATTTTCTGAATTCAGAGACATTTTGCTATTAAATAAGGTTAAGAAACCCCTAGAAAGGTTTCAGGCCCACAATGTGCTGAACTTTTCTGTCATTGTAGTTAACTTTCCTTTATAGATTGAAGGTGTTTAGTTTGTCACTATAATTAAATTTCACAGGAAACCTGAAAATACAATGTTCTCTTACTCAATGGCAAACAATATGGCAATATTGTGAGTTATAGTGTTTGTTAAAGAGTACATTAAAGAGTTAAAGAGTACATTATCTGTACTCTTTCTACCACATAGCAAATTATATCTGGCAAATAAAAACAAATAAATAAAAACACTTTTAAGTTGTCAGTGAATATTTTCAGAGCTGACTAACTTCATTCAAACTAGAAATGAGAGGGCTTTCCCAAAACTCACACAGAAGAAAGGCGCCTTTCAATTATACGTCTTGAAATATGACAAAACACTTTTAATGGTGGAATTTAATGGGCTGCCCCTTTATTAAAAAAGGAAAAGACACCAGGAGCTTCAACTGGCGAGACAAAATCCCTTGAGAAATAATTCACCTTGCTGTTGTTGCTGCAAACACCCACTGAGATGAGGCAATTTTAAACATCAAAAGATGAAAATAAGCTCCATCAAAGGCACACACACAAAGAAAAACTTTAAAATTACTAGATCAAAATGTATATATTAGATTCGTTTTTAAGTTTTAAGAAATCATGTATCTGAATATTAGGATATAAAAGTAAAAAGCCCAACTCTTAAATCTCCTTTAAACCTTTAATATTATTCAAAAACCGTACTGAATCCATCATTTAAGACCACTTTCATTTATTTGCGAGTCTTTGGTAATGATTTTCACACAAGGTTGCCTTTTTCTCATACGGTATTCCATGTGGAGTACCCAGGAAGTTAAATGCCTCTACTACTTCAGAGGGCAGAGGAATGGTGCTAAATGACAGCCCAGGGTGATCCGCTATGCAGAAGAGGCCCCTAGTGGTGAAGCTACTGCTCCAACCTGGCTTCACACATTTTATAAGACTGCTTCATCACGAGGGCAAAATCAATATGTAATAAAGTCCACCTGAGCTTTGCTTGCTGCTCCCTCTATGAGCCCTAATATATAGTAGGTCTATATTTTACAACCCCAAGATGCTTTCATCAAGAATATAAAAGGAAGGATGTGACCTGCAGGATATCTTCATTACATTCTGAATTTCAAATCAACTCACATTCATTAAGCCCTTGCTCCAACCCAGGCACCAAGCTAGACATGGAGATACAGACAAGCAAGAGAGATGAGCAGCCCAACAGTGTGATAATATCACATTGAGAACAGAACTAAAACAACATAAAGATAGGAAAGCCCAATTCATTTTCATATGATCTGATGAGGAATTCTTACCAATGGAGTATTGCCGACTACCTCCCCCCAAAAATGTCAGCTCCTCATTTCAAACACCCATACAGGGCAGCACCTGAGCTTCTTTAACAAAGATGGGTGGATGGATAGTTGAAAAGTAAGGCTGCATAAAAGAAACTATCACAGGTTTTTAACATGTTGACATATGCCAGAATCATGGATTCCTAAAAGTGAAGACAGACAAGAGACATTAGGAAGGGTAAACTGTGCTCTGGGTACCAAGGATAGGTTCCAAAATATTTTTCATTCTGCCCAACATTTCTATTAAGTGGGGAATCATATTGGCATTTAGATAGATCCAAATGATTAGAAGTTTCGCTTCAAACCTGATTAATACAATTTACAAATAGGTATGAGTGATTTGAAACCCAAAGATGATCAGAATTGAAGTATTTCCATATTGTATCATTTGGAGTATATATAGTGCAGCAATCCAATGCAGACTAATTATTAAATATTTACTGACTTTCCACAATGGAGCTGACCCATCACTCGTTTTCCTGGTATTGAGATTCCCCTGGAGCCCAATGGAAGATTCAAGTCACTTTTTACACGTACGGTATAAGACATTCTCTGACTTTCCAAGTTTGAAAGATGCTTCTCTTTCCAATTAGCAAATGACAGTATCACACGGGACTTATTAATGTTCACTGTTGCAAGTAATACCATAATTGTGACTTTCTCGCGTGAACAATATTAACGAAATCCTGTAGAATTAAATTTACATTTCTAGTTTTATTTTTTAAAGTAAAATGACAGTTGTCTTTATTACCGAAATGCATCCAATGACATTTAAATGAAAACTGTGTCAAGGCTCTGAAATCAGAATAAAACTAGACTCTGCAAAACATAACCACTCTATGATTCATTAGCATTTCATTTATCAGCGTTTCCAGAGGATCACTGTTTTGGCGTCTACGGTGCATCTTTTCCTCTCCCACCATTCTTCCTCTGCTCACAATGAAAAGATAACTTCAAAAATCACTGACAGCATCGCAGGTGCAGGAAGTATCTCGGAAACAAACAACTTTGCCTTCGCTTTGTACTGATTTCCTCCTCCTCCTCCCGCCTCCCCCACCCCAACCCGAGACCATACCCTGGGACGGCCTCCTCCACCCACCGCGAGAAACACTTCCCCGGGGCACCTCGGGTCGCCGCGACCCTCAGACCCAGTCACGGTGACCCTGGTCCGAGGCAGGAGTGCACGCTGTCCACCAGCCACCCTCTCCATCACAGCAAAAATGATACAACAACAACAGCAAGGTAGTCGCGTGGACACGTGTAACGGCTACTTTCGAGTCGGTTTTCGGGAAAGTCATTAAACATCTCCGCGCCCGACCGACGCAGACAGATCCCACTGACCCCGGCGCGTGGTGGCCCGGGACCCTCACTGGCGCCTCCGCGCTATCGCGCGGCCACCTGAAGGCGCGGCGCCCTCCCCGGGCCGAGCCACTCCCAGCCCCGGCGACGCGCAGCCCCCTCCCCTCCCCTCCCCGAGCCGGGCCGAGCCGAGCCGAGCCCTCAGCCGCGGCCGGTGGCTACAGAGCGAGGCCGGGCGCGGCGCGGTCCTCCCGCGGACGAGCCACCCCGAGGTCGCGAGCTGGGGCGCGCGGATGGGCGAGCTGCACCGACGCCCCCGCGCGGCGCTCCACGAAGCCAGCGCACGAAGGGACCCGACTCACCCCGAGGCGCCCTCGGGCTGCCTGCCCGGCCTGGCTCCCGCTGCTCCGCCGCCGCCGAACTTTCCCTCCGGCGCGGCGGCCGCGGGCTCGGCTCCACCTCCTGCTCTGGCAGCCGCGGAGCCTCCAGGGACCCGGGGGGCGGGGAGCGGCGGCGGGCGGGCCCGCGATCCCGCCGCGCGGTGGCTGCGGGCCGGGGTCGCGCCTGGCTGCGCCCACCCGCTTCCCCTCTGCAGTGCGTCCCAGCGCCCCGTCGGAGCGGGGCGCCCTGGCCGAAGCCTATCGCTCTGCGGGGGCCACGCTGCAGGCTAGGGTCTGCTGCGGGGGACGGTTTGACGTGACTGGTCCCCGAGATCAGGGGTTGGGGAAAAGAGCTAGAACCCTAAGGAGCGGCCCGTGCCCCAGGAGAAGTGGCTGTGTGTCCATTCTAGAAATAGGTGCAGCTTCATCTTTGGGGAAGGCTCCCTAGACCCCATCCGACCTCTGTGTTTCTTTTGCCCCTACCGGGCTACGCTAAGCCCTTTGGGGCTGCTTGGACACACAAACTTTGAATGTTGCACTTCGGAAAATTAATTCTAGAGCCCTTGTCTTTGCTGCCCCTACCAGCTGTGACGCCTTCATTAGAGGGCTTTTATTTACAGTGAAAGTCACAAATCCCTTTAACTCTGGCAAACCCCGTCTGCGGAAAGTGACGTCTGCGGGGACCCCTGGCGGCCACGGGGAGCCCTGGAAGAGAAGAAGAAGAGCTGGAGGAAAAGTATGAAAAGCAGGCAGTGGGGAACTGAGTAAGAAAAGATCCCACCCCTTCCCTCCACACGCACACATCGCAGACACCCCGCCGGAAACTCCACCACTGCTGTCCCAGTGAGGGACTTGGAGAGTACTGGGATCCCCAATTCTCAGTATAACAGAAGGGTCCCACGCAGAGTCTCAGCCTGGAAGAGATCCTCTCCACCCACAGCTAAGCAAGGTGCAGTGGTCCCACGCCTGAGCTGCGCCAAAAACCGGAGCTAGCAACCAGTCCTGCTTTTCCTGGTACAATGCTCCTTCTACTACCTGGCCATCAGAATGCTCCAAGTCCCCAGCCTAGCGTTTTCAGGACACCAGACTTGTAGGTGGACCCAGGGTGGAGGGCTGGAGGCAATAAGCACAGTCTAGAAGCGGCTGGTTTTCGTTTAGCATCTGATTACCTGTAGGACCATCCCGGAAGCAAAGCTTGCTTCCTACCAGGATTCCTCAAGCAGCTCTGTCACTGCCTCCAAACCCCAAATAAGTTATTCACCCTTGACTCCTACTGTCCCCACAGCAACTTAGTTGAGATCTGGGAAAGAGGGAAGAACCAAGTGTTTGCAAACGAATGAACATAGAATGGCTATTATGTTACTGTACTGCCTAGAAATGCTGCGTGACCGTGGCGGTGATCGTTAAGAGCATAGTACATAAGTGGGTACGTCATCAACCAAGTTCATCCACACATTATCTCTGAGCAATGTGATGAGGTAAATAATGCAATAGCCCCCACTTGGAGGGTAAGAGGAGCGCACCACCGGAGGCTGGAGTTGGTTATGAGTTGTGCAGACATTAGTGCTTTCACAATCGCCCGCTGGGTAGCCAGGTAACCAACCTCTTTAGAGCCCTCCAGCTGCCAACGTAACACTGTCACATCTCCATCCGGAAGTTGTTAAACAACTGATGTTTCTGTTGGTTTGCCTATTTGTTTTTGACTTTTGCTTTTTGGTTACTCTTTGGCTTTGTTTGCTTTGCTGCCCAGGCTGGACTCAAACTCATAAGCTCAAATGATCCTCGGTTCTTCAGCCTCCTGAGGGGTGGGAATAAAGGTGTATATATACCATTGTAACTGAATCTAAAGCACTGATTTTTTTTTTCATCTCCTGAAATATTCACCATCTCTCTGGTCAGTGATGTTGAATTATATAATAGGGTTAAGTGTGGGTTCTGGCTTGGAAAACAGGCCAGAAAACTTGAGTATAGGCCATCATGGAACATCAGAGACATGCACTCTTAGCCTGAGCTTCAGGGTACTATTTTTCCATCCCACCTCATATTTTTATTTCTTTAAAAATTTGTTTCAAATAGACACTGCATACCTAGTAAACTTTAAGCACCGAAAGATTTCACATAGTTCAAAGTCAGATTTCTCAACCTCACCAGGATCTTTAAGAACCTTGACCCAGAGCTATGCAGAAGCTGAATGAACAGCTGTGAAAGTCATTCATTACAATCAAGCGACTTACTATCTAAAAGACACATCATGTCGTGTAGACCTCACTTTAAACATCTGTCTGGTAGTCTGGGTGATCTTTTTTCTTAGATCACAGTGCGGTGTAGTCAGATACAGGTCATTAGGTGGAAGAGGTCTGCTGTACTGAAGCACTCAGACCAGCCCAACAGTACAGACAAAAGTCACTAAAATATGACCTAACTGCATTGCATAAGTCTACTTAAGGGATCTTCCAAACATGAAATATACCTCTGACTACATTTCCATTCTAAGTGACCAAAGCAAATAATATTTGACCCAAAAAGATAATCTTTGTTTTGCTACAAAGAAAACTCCACATGTACAAAAGCATTGTTATCAAGCACTCAGGGCTCGATGAATGTTTATTGGCTGAATAAGGGATTCTTCTAACTTCCTCTGGATGCCTTCTGTTAATCTTTAAATAAACACATCAAAATTAATTGGCTGTTTCACACTATGTCCAAATTTACAGTCTTATTGTTTATGCCTTTTTTCTCTGGGTCAATCCAAAAGAAGTGAAAGGAGGAAATATGCTGCTGGTGTTGCACCAGCAAGCTCTCTTCCCACAACAGGTGAGACAAGCCATCCTCTGACACAACATCTTCAACAGTATAGCTGAGACCTCAGGTGAGAGCCAGGAAGTACATTGAGGGCTTCACAGGTTAGCTTTCCCATTCCACTTCTATGTACTCAGCATCCTCACTCCCTCTGGCTATAGAGGAAAACCAGAGCACTACAGAGGGACCTACAGAACAGTGAGATGAGTGAGGCAGAGAGCCAAACCCACATGTGGCTGTATCCCCCTGAGAAGACTCGGATATCTAAGCACATATCTGCTCTGGACTGTGTCTTTTCTTATTACTGTCTTGGCATTAACCTTCTGATGTGCAGATCTAACTCAGCCAGGCCATTATTCATGAATACAAACACTGGTTTTCAAATATTTCCCCTTTGATAATTCAGTTGTCTATAGGTTAGGGAAAGGGGTCTTTTAACTTTCATTCCAGCTTTAATTTTTGAACTCTGGTGGATAGGCTATTTTAAATTATTCTGTCCAAGCATTATTAGCATCTTTTAAAAAGTGGATCATTTATTATTTCAGTCAATATCTGCAAAATCTTATCCCACTTTTAGATCTTACTCTGCATTCTTTCACTGCTATAAATATACATGATGGCAAGCCCTTCATTAATAGGAAAATGTGTTTCAGTGACATGCATTATTGTAAGAATCTTTATTACCAAGAGTAGAAACAGGACACATAAAGGTGTACTAAAGGATATTAGAATAGCAGAGCTACTATATAATATACTGACACTGAACAGGGAAAACAGCCTGAGGAAGGACAGGATGAGTACAGTCAGAATAAAGAGGTCCAGAAATAAGAAGTGCCTAAGGAAGAGAGATACATGTGGCACTTAACAAAAAGTGAAAAAGACATGGCAAGGCAAGGATGCTGGTATGGAAGACAAGCTTTACCAATGGCAAGAACAAAGGTATCTCCTTTCTATTTTCATATGTACTTAAGCCCCATATGCAGAGAGGCCTCCTCATGTACAGCCACAAACACATGTAGCTGAAGAGGGACTTTGCCTTCAACCAAAGGACAATGGTGTTGCTTCACGAGACATGCTTGGCTTTTCTGTGAACACAACCAGATGTTTTAGTCAAATTATTACTCATCCATCAACAGTAGGTTAGATAGTTACTGGGTTCCGGGCACTGTGGGAACAAGAAAAATGACTAAGCACTTCTCAACAAACCTAAAATCTAGTAGAAGACTGAACCTAGTATTAGAGGAGTTCAAAGGCAAAAAAGAAAGACCCTTGCATTGCAACAGATGCCTTCATGTTCAGAGTGGCTTTTGAGAGAGATCTTGAAACGTGAGCAGGATTTTGATGGGTAGAAAAAGGAGGGGGTGGGACTCAGAAAATAAAACAAAACCAGCAAGGCAGAGATGGGAAAAGTCTGAGCATGTCCCTGAAAAGAAAAATCCAAGATGACTGGAATGCAGAGATCAACTTGTGAAAAGGTAAGTCTGAAAGTGGCCAGCATCTAGTTGATAGAGGATGCTGACTTCAAGATAGACTTTATTATGTTAACTTTAGTATAGTAGGAATGTGTGGATGTGAGCAGATGCTGTAAACTGCCTAATCAGCTTTCTGTTTTAGTAGAATTTTAATTTTGTTCAAACCCTGTCTCCATTAGCACTCACCCAAGTGCCTTGGGAGCCTAAAAGGAAGGTTAAAACTATCACTAGCTGTAGGAGGAAGTAAGACAAATTACAGTCGATTTAAGGCAAGGAAAATCAATGTGAAAATGGCTGTACCTTTATCTATGGGACACCTCAGAGGAGAAGCATGTGATCAAGTAGATATTGAGATCTAAAACTCAGGAAAGGGCAGAAGTAGAGCTATAAAGAGACAAGGAGTCCTCCAAGTACAAAAATGTCATCATTTGAATAATGAGAATGAAAAGATCGACTGGAGAGCACAGTTCAAGAGCACATTAAAATCCTTGGTTCAAGAAAAGAGGATTCTATAAAGGAAACTGGGAAGGAAAGGCAGAAAAGACCGGAGAACCAGTGAGATGTCTTGGGAATCAAAGTGTCAGAAGGTGAGTTGATGGTTACATGCATAAAATTCTGTGCTATTCACTCCTTTGTCAAGGAGTTTCTTTCGTTGTATGTGAGCCATTATCAGCATTTAAAAAACCATCAGAGAAGGTATGTTTACCCACAGTGCAGCTCTATGAGCTAATTATGCCAAAAGTTTCTCTGGTTTTTACTAGAATTGTAAGAATCGGTGTGTTTGTACTGA